TGTGTAAAGCCAGATGGATGTTTGATAAATTGGGAACAGACATACAGGCAGTTTGTGAAGTGCTGGCCTGGGCAGCTGCAGCCTCAGCACAATGATGCCAGTATTAGTCAATTTGTCAGTGTCTGGGAGATGCTGTATCAATCTCAGTCGGGATGAAACACACCGGAACTCAATGCTCAGTACTTTTAAAAACATCAAGTTTGCATTGGGCACTCTTCAAACAAAGCTACAGGATGGACCAACATGCTAAATTTCCACAGAGAACACTGATTCCTCTGTTAGATAAGGGTGAGAGGCTTGTGGATACTTTTAAGTTGCCATGAATGCCAGGCAAGTGTTTCCAGAACCGGTTTATGACAGCCTGATCCTTAGAGCACTTGTGGAAATTGGACTGCGGTGCTGTAGCTCAGGCAGCAATCTGGTTCTGGGTCTTGTTGTCAGGTACCATGAGTGGATGCAGTCAGAGGAGCTGCAGCGCCTGACCGCCTCTGAACAAACTGGAGCAGGAGTATGAGATGCAGCGCAGCTGGCGGGATGACACAGACAGTGAGGATCTTAAACATCTTCTAAGGGTGGGTGGGAGTGGTGAGCAGGTCCCTTCTGCCCTGTAAAGGGCCCACAGTGGACTGAGAGCGCCCGGTGAGTGGGCTCTACTCACTGAAGCAGAGGGGATGGGAGACCTACAACAGTAGCTTTGAGCTGGCTTTCTCTTTATAGCTGGTATATGCTCAGGAAAGTAGAGAATGTCTGGGGCTGTTGGTGTCCTTTTTATGCAATTTTTCAAGGATTACAGTGATTAACTTCCCCCAGCATTATCTGCTGAGCTGCTGCTGCTGCACAGTCAACACTCCCCAGGTCTGATCGTCGTAAAAAGGTGGAAAGGGGGTTGTATTTTTCCTTGAGAAATCGACTGACTTTATAATTACCTGGTTGAGGTGTGCTGACTGAATTAGTTCCCTGGCTCTCCTACAGGTAATGAATCACTGCCCATAAAAGCCTGGCAGAAATATAGTGAGCTGCAAAATACTGAGGCTGGCAAAGACCCGAGTCTGGAGCATTTGTCTTAGCTGGCATTAAAAGCCTTACTAAAGGCAGCAATAATATGGACTAGGTAATCACTACGTCTCAGTCTCTTGTGCAGCAAACAATTCTTTGCCCAAACTTGCTGCAGAGTGAGACAAAGCAGAGAGACCTCAAACATGGGATAAAAGTTTGCCTGCTTCTTAAATAGGCTGTTTCTAGTCTGGGTGTCTACATCACTCTCACAATGTTGGGGTTTTTTCCAGAATATTTCTTACATATCTAGGGATGGGAGCAGGCATGCTTGGCGTGGGAGGCCCAATTATTAGCTCTTCGTCACTGTTAACATGTGGAAACTGTTGTTCCTCCATTTATTGCATGCCTTTAATTTCATCCGTCAGTAATCTGTGAATAATTCTCAACATACCCTGAAAATGCTGCTACGTTTTTGTTTTCCCCAGAGTGCACCTTCATTGTGCTGGACACGGAGCGGTGGTCTGGGCAGGCATGTGCGGATGAGGACTCCATGGTGGGGGACGTGAATCTCTTCCTCACTGACACTGAGGATCCGACGTTGGGCGAGATTGAAATTATGATTGCAGGTCAAGTTCTGCTTCCTAGCTTGGGCCTCTGTCACCATGGCTAGGGCCAGCTGCAGACAGATGTTACATAGAGTAGCTTTTTATTCTCATTGCCTTACCACGGCTGTCCAGCCCTTATCAGCATCCTCTGCTGGTCTGGCTCACAGTCTCTTCTGAAAAGTACCCAGCATGGCTTTTTTGTCTCTTGTAACTGGATGCTGACTTCTGTAGCTCTCTCTTTTTCAGAGCCCAGCTACCGAGGCAGAGGGTTTGGCAAGGAGGCAACGTTGATGATGATGTCCTATGGTAAGGGTGGCTCAGTACCTGGGAATGGGAACACAGTCGGGATGTGATCTAGAAGCCCGTATTCCCAGTGATAGACAGGGTAGCAAGGGATCCATCTGCCCCAGAAACTGTAGTCCTGTGCCTTCATAGATGTGGCAGCCGAGCAGGTAATAGAAATGCTTCTCTTTCTGATTTCTTTTGCAGGAGTGAGAAACCTGGGAATCACCAAATTTGAGGCTAAGATTGGTCAGGAAAATGAAGCCAGTATCTGCATGTTCAAAAAACTTCATTTTAAGGAGGTGCGGTAACAACCTGTCTTCTACCCAGAGAACGTAAGCAGCATTTGCCCCATGACTGGGATTGAGCTGTTTTTCCTCTGTATGGTACAGGTTGCTGTGAACAGTGTTTTCCAAGAGGTGACGCTGAGGCTGGATGTCAGTGACGAGGAGAGACGATGGCTCCTGGAACAGACAAACCATGTGGAGGAGAAGAGCTACGTTGAACTGAAGCTGCCAGCTGGGATGCTGGAGACCTGACAGACACATCCAGACACAGACCTTATTTCCAGGGAGGAGTTGGACGCTATTGCGAGGTCTGGGTGTGAAGGACACCAGGGAGCCAACGCTGAACTTGACTCTTTTCATCTGTCTCTGGTTACTTTGTCATCTTGTCAATTCTGCACCTTGTTGCACCAGCCAGGAATACTGCCTGAAATTTGGACCTGGAGAATGGCCACTAATTCACAGGCTTGACTAGGAGCAACTATAACCTTAACGTGCTGTTCCAGCAGAGCCTAAAATCACCAGCAGTTAATCGATTCCTGGTGTGACAAGTTTCTGGACAAGGAGCAGCCACTGTTCCTTCTTCTGCTGCCTTTAGAGAGAGAGTGAGTACAGAGGCAGTCTTGGTGCGCTGGTAACTCAGGTCTGTTGTCTCTTGAATAAAAAAACTGACAAAAAATATGAGGTTTCCCCAGAGCTATCTGGGCGCAGCAGGGCTCGGCTGGTGGAAGGGTGGTTAGAGGTTGTAAAGCACAGCAGAGACTCTCTGAACCCTATTTTCTGGGGTGTGGTGGGTTGCAGGGGGACACTGCTGGGTCCTGGAAGTGAGAGGCCCAGGTGCAGCTAAGCGCAACCAAATGACAAGTGCTGTTAATGTGACAAAAATGATTGATAGCAGCTGACCAAGACTTGGGCAGAGCCTCTCCACGATGGCTGCGTAGCGGGGGGGACTGGCAGCTGCAGGAGGCTGCTGAGACAAAACTGCTTGCTGAGTTTCAGGCCTGTGCTTTGGCACACTGCTGCCTGTTAAGGGTGTGGACCTGGAAACCTCAGCCCGTCAGCAAAGGAATATTGCACTTCGATTTACCAGGCTGCTTTTATGAAAGCAAGGAGGAGGAGAACACAACTGAAAGGAGACGCAGTAGCTCTGCTGAGCCTGGAGGCTCTGTTCACTGCCCCAAAAATATCTGTTCCTGGTGCCAGATGGCTTTAGGGCAGGAGCTGGCCAGCCAGCCCGCCTCCGCTGTGAAACGGATGAGATCTCTCACTTCAGGAGAGGCACTTGCCTGACTCCCCCTGGACAGACTTTTTAATGCAGTTACTCAGCCTGACCTTTCCTGCCCCATGCAGCCGGCTCTCACAGCAGGGAAGCTTGCCAAGAGTCGAGGAGAATAACCCACCCTCCTGCGTGTTTAGCAGCCGTAATGGCTAATTCTAGACCAGAAATTATTTGTTGCAATTACAAACTATCAGGTAATAGCTTTCAGATTTGTCCAGGGATGTTTTCATAGGAGACTGGTAGACTGTGGAATTTTTAGTGTTGCTGTGCCTGTATTTTTAGGGCCTGGGGGTTTTAGTTTTCCAATTTAAATACCTCAATTCCTGTGACTAATGTTAAAACCAAGCGTGGGAATGGTGTATCACAGTATTTTAAACAACAAGTGTTTAGCGTGGATTTAGTTGTAGCAAAAGCTTTGTGCAGTAATAAAGTGAAGAGCAGCTCTGCTTCCAGCTGGGATTACTGTGACAAGGGCTACTAATCCTCGGGGCTCTCTGTCACCTGCTGCAGGCAGGAATGAATTCTGTCCCCCAGAACAAGATTTGCAGAACCTGCAGGGTAAACTGCTGGCTCTGTGTTCCTTCCATGGTGCCTTTCATCCCTCTGTCAGAGGAGCAAGGTCAGACTGGCAGGAGGGATGTAGCTGGGCTACAAAGTGACCAAGGTAGGAAGTCCTTTCCTTCAACCTCTGCTGCCAGGGCCGAGGGGGGCACAGTGAAACCGTGCTGCCCTCCCCGGCCCTGCTGTGGCTCCCCGTGCCCGGTTGCTCTGGAGCCGGTGAGCGCCCCGCTTGGCATCCCCGGTCCCCCAGCAACGCCAGCACACTCCCCCGCCTCCATGGGCGGTTGGGAAAAACCTTCGCCTTGGCAACCCGAGACAAAGTTGGGTCTGTCCTGGAGCCACGGCCCTCCCCTGGGCTGGTCCTGGTGGGGCTTAACCAGAGTTCCCACAGGGAAATGGGTCCCCAGGCTGCTCTGACCAGGCAAAGATGCAAAAGATGCTCCTGGGACCTTCCAGGTGCCCCTTCTCCTGCCCTGTGTGGGCAAACCCAGCCCACAGCATCGCACCCCATCCCAGACAGGGACACCCTCCTGGCCCCAGGGGCCTGAGGGTGGGAAATGAGGGGACAGGGGCTCACCGCTCAGCAGCGCTGCCACAGAGCGTGTGACTTTGGAGGACACGGCAGATTGAAATGGGCTCCCCCAGCTTCCAGAGGGAGTTGCAGCCTGCATGGCCCCCACAGATCTGGTGGCAGTTTGTCACTTCAGGTGTCATCTGAGCTGCAGACCTCTACGACCACTCGTCTGCTCAGGTAGAGGAGTTCATCCGGGGGTTCGGAGCACAAAACAAGAGCATGCAGAAGGGGAGGGAGTGAAGACACCGGGCAGAAGCTGGGGCTGTGGATCCATTGTCGCTGCTGAGAGCACAGCCCCTTGCCTTGTCCCCAGGAAGCCACCATCCCACCCTCCCCAGGGCATCCATGGTGCCACCAGCCCAGCCCTGCTGAGCCACCCCAGCACAGCATGTCCCTGTGCTCACCCGCTGCAGCAGCAGGACTTAGCTTGGCTGTGTATAAACTGCCCCACACGGGCTTAAAAATATCCCCAGGAGGCAGGTGGGGTGGCAGAGCTCTGGGGACATCCGGGCCCCACCATGCTGTGCACCCAGCCCCTTCCAGCCACAGCACCGTCACCAACCCCATGCCAAAATGCCTCTGCCCTGCTTTCCCCTGCTCCGCTCCATCAATTTAGAGGGACAAGCAGCCCTCTGCCCACTGCTCCCCCCGCCTTTCCCCACCCCAGGATGCAATCCCAGAGCTCAGGCTCACCCAGAGGGGCAGGGGGCAGATTTGGGCTGCCCCCAGCAGAGCTGCCACCCTCCAACCAGGCCAGCAGACATGGATTAGAGCCTCACATCACACCCCACCCCCTCTGCACTCCCCAGAGGATTAGAGCCCTTTAATCACCCTGATGCATTAACCTGCACTGGGACCAGCTGGTCCTCCCCTGACCTCCCCAGCCTGGCCCCGCTGGGTGCTGAGGGAGCACCCAAACCAGCCCCAGTGTCCCCCGCTACTGGGAGCATTACCTGCCTCTTCCCCAGCCCTGGCAGCACGGTGAGCCCCCGTCAAGCACCCATGCATCCTTGGGCGTCGGAAGGATTTAGCCTTAAGCCAGACAGGTGGAAGTCAGGAAGGTTTATTCCAGTAAACAGAATTTCTCTTGAGCTGGACAGTACAACAACACCCGATCGCAAAACACAGAAACAAAACGTCCACAGGAAGAATTTCCACAAAATACATTTTAAAAAAAATAAACAGTGTGATTGAAAAACTCTTATTTTGGAAAAAAAACCCCAGAGTCTATTGAGAAGCCTTTAAATTAAAACAGTGTCGGATTCAAACCCTGATCGGCTCTGTCTCCAGGAGTGAGCGGGAGCAAAAGAGATAATTATTGCTTGCTGTGTGGCTCCAGACACCCTCTCCTCTCCCAAGATAGCCCCAGGGGCAGGGTACTGGGGGTTCCCTGCTATGCTGGGCACCCACGTCCCTCCTTGCCCCTGCTGGGACCCGGGGGTGAAGGGACAGGGCCATCGTGGACGGAGCTTGCTGGGCGGGGGTCAAACACCCCAGGGAGGAATCGCTGTGGGTGGGCAGGTGGGGTTTGCTAAAAGTCACTAAAAGCCTCAGGTTTTGCAGTTAAAGGACAAGGCGGGGGGGCTCAAATGGAGATGGGGTTTGGGGTGGAGGAAGAACCAGGGAACAGCAGGGATCAGAAGTGTTGGACATCAGGCCACCCCAAATTCCCAATCTCCCCTGAGCCCTTGCTTGCCCCTACAGGGGTGTGCAGGGCTTCAAGGCAGAGCTGGAGGAGCACCCCGGGGATGGGCGCATGGGAGGGGGAAGCCCCCCAGCATCCCCTGGCTCTCTCTAGCCTAAAACCACCGCCCAGGACCCCGCTGCGGGGATGCTCGCTGGCCACCGAGCCCCATCCCTCAGGTCAGGGTGGTGGGGAGCAGCCCCGTATCCCTGCCGGGAGCCCGTGGCGGGGAGGAAGGGGATGCAGGAGTGGTGGGTGCAAAGCTGGGGGGGCCGGTGGACCCTCGCCCCTGGGCCTTCACAGGTTGCTGAACAGTTCGTTTTTCTTGCTCCAGTCCATCTGGGGTGCCCGCTTGCTGGTACGCTTCTGGTGTGCCCGCTCCTTGGCCACCGCCAGCGGGATGTCAAGGTCCAGGAGGGAGCCAGATGCCGAATGGCGCTTGTCAGCCTCCTGTGTGTTG